GTACGTACAAATCTATTTATTCAAGGATGACATTTACATCAAACTTTGACGCATCTCAAGAAAGAATTATGTTGAACGTTGGGGGTGTGAGGGTAAATTAAATTGAAGTATTGATTAAAATTAAAAATTTAAATTTAACCTTTTTTAAAATACCCTAGTATGAAACCTATTGTTCTACTCTGATTGCTTATCCGACAACACTTCTTGGAACAATGTTTGCTGACAGAAATTCAGAGTTGTTGTGTCCAGTCAATGGTGAACATTTTATTGATAGGGATGGTCAATTATTCCGATATATTTTGCAATTTTATCGTACTGGAAAAATCTATTGGCATGACATTCAGTTGACAAATTCACTGCCTAGCGACATCACTTCAACAACCCACAATCTTATGCCGATTTCTCGTGAAAATATATTTTCAGAAATCGATTATTTTCAACTTCCAATCCCATTACCATTATCTCAGAATGAACCTCCTTTATTATCTCAACATGCTCAAAAGGCGGCCGCATCAAAACTTGACGAATTCATTCAATCATTTCAGAAATGTATTTTTGAAGCAATGCAATTTTTTGAGACAACTATACCATTTACATTTCATCGAATAGTACGAGAAAATCAGGAGGTTTACTGGAATGAGCATGAAAAGGTTTCACCATTTGTTAAATATCTCAGACCCTTTGCTCCATGTGTCGGGTATGAACTTTTGGATAGGTTTGGCGTGGAAATCGGAAAGCGATTAAAACTTAAATTTGGAGAAGATTTAGAATGGAAATTAGAGAAACATACTTCACATGTTGATACAAAAGTAGATTATTATAGATTAGCTATTAATATTCCTGATAATGCTTATGATAATAATAAAATTTTACAATATTCTACTTATTCAGATTCATAATAATAACCACATTTTAAATAAGGATAAACTAGATTATTTTTATACTAGTAAAAGCGTTAAATAAATTATTAACAACATAGTGGAGACATACTTTTTTATTCTGTTTTTATAGTTTTAAAGTACATTAATCATCCTCATAATCATCAATAACCTTGAACCTCTTGTTCTACAATCTTTTGTTCGATTTTGCTTGGTTTACAATTATTTTTTTCTTCTAATCTCAAAGTTTTTCTTCCTTCTTTCAATATTTTCCATTCATCTAAAATCTTCAAACTCTAATTTAACATGTTCAATGACATATGCATTACTGATGATTTTGTCACTACTTTGTACCATATCATTTTTAAAATCCTCAATGTCCCAACCAAATGCCAACTCTCTAATCATATAGGGACTTTGCCTTGAAAATGACCCTACGGGACTATGTAAAATTTGTGATCTAATTTTAATTTTGCTAGTTATCCAGTAAACTTTTTTTTTTTGTTTATAAAACTTATTTGACTCTGCAAAATAAAAAAAAAGTTTATTCAAAATGGACCATTAGATGACTAGAAAAATTGAATTTTATCCACAAAATTTACATAGCCCCGTAGGGTCATTTCAAGGCAAAGACCCCATATCTTGGTTTAATTCTTTTGACCAGTGTATCTTCCATCTTTGAAACTTCTCGGATTCTCTTTTGGAAAATCTTTCGTGAACAATCTTCTAAATACATTTCTTGCACAAATAATTCGTTTTAGTATACAAGGTCGTATTAGTAAATCTTCTTTAAATCTTTGGAGATATTATCCACTCTGAACGAATTATCAGCATGAATTTGAAATCTTTGGCGTCGTAATAATGATGGAATCCTGTAATTGCCAGTATGGGATCCCACCTTCTGACAGGTAATGCACGTCTGTAACCCGGAATTTTGATGTAATCATTTAGCTTTTTGATCTCATCCTATATTAAATTGTAAAATAATTATAAAAAAAAAAAAAAAAAAAAAAAAATTAAGTTGGGACATATAATATATTTTTTATTGGTTACTTCAAATTCGCTAGTAGCCCCGGTCATTATAATTGATTTTTTTGAAGCTTTAATAATGTAAAAACAAGGTGTCTTTGCCCACTTAGCTTTCATTAATAACAATTCGAATAAAAGATTTGTTAAGAAATTGATGATCGTCGAAAATAAATCGATATCGAAATAGCATTTGTGATACAGCTTGTAATCAGGTGATTTATATACATGCATTGGGTTTTTTATCTGTTACGTATAACGATAATAAAAGTAAATAAATTAATAGCGATAGTGTTTATTATTTTATCATAATTTTAGAAGTTATTTTATTCATATTATTACGCTCTTATCAATAGCCTGTACTATTATATCGAATATTTAATTACAACATTTAAATGATGAAAATGATGAAAAATTATATTATGTAATTTACCATGTGTTCAAAGTCAAACAATTACGTGAAATATTGATTTACTGAAACTTAATCTGGATTTTACTTACAACTAGCAACTTTAGTGTAAATTGAATATACAGTAACAAGAGCTTGTAAACTTTTCATTAAACTTATTAATCTCGTCAACTTATTTATTTATTATATTATTATTTACTTTTTAATTTCTACAATCGCACCAAATATATTATCAAAAAATTAAATTAACGAACAGAAATATTGGATATTTTATCCAACCTATACAATATAAACACAAGCGATTCATAAGAACTTCAAACGTTTTTTTTTACTAAGAGAATGTTAAACGAATTTTTTGGCCTAATAAGCATCCTTTAGTCATATAAAAGTATATGTCCAGGTCATACCACGTGGAGGTTG